ATTTTTTGTCGAGGCTAGAGTTGTGAGCTGTAAACTTTGTCAGTTTTAGAGTTAACTGTAGTTTTAGTTGTTGAGAGCAAAGGGTCTTTAAATAACTATTTCTTCGGAATGAAACCTCCGTGATGGAAAAGAAAAGAATATTTATATGATAATTACAAACTGTTTATTTTAAAAAATAAATATTTTAATTATAAAATTAAACAATAAAAGATAATGTTTGAGTTTAAAGATGAATAAATTTAAGATCTAACACAATCTATTAACTTATATAAAATCAATCTAGATACATCTTTGTTATCGAATAAATGACTAACTACTTCATAATGATATTGCCTATCTTTGCAGAATTCTTTTAAATATTGTGCAAATTCAAAAACTTTCACAATATCTATTGGTCTTCTTAAATGATTACAAGAAAAATAATTATCATTTTCATCAAAGTCATTATATCTTTTACAGACCTTACAATACAGTTGAACTGGTTCATAATTATATTCACTACATTTGTCTTCTAACAATTGTTTAAATATTAATTCAGCTTTTTTAGAATAAGTCTGATTTCCAATAACTTTATTAATAAGTCTTTTTATTCCTCTTTTATCTGATTCTGATAATTTGTCATCAACATTATCAAGCAGCAATTTTATTTTTCTTTTAAATAGTATACAAAGACAACAAAAAAAACAGAGCAAAAAAAAACGAAAAAAAAATAGTTCTCTCCAAACGACATTGGTACTTCGTTTCCTTCTCAAAAAAATAAAAATAAAAAAAAATAAAAAGTAATCATCATCTGTTTTAACATAATCGTTCAAACCATTCAAAAAGAAATAAACTCATACTTCCCTACAATTCGTAATCAAATCTTCATCGACGAAAAAATAGAGAAAAAATAAATAATAAAAAAATAATAGGAAAAAAATGAAAAGGGAAAAAAAGAAAGAAAAAGGAAAAAAGAATCGTTCGCTTCAATAAAATTTTCCGAAGAGCCGACAAATGTTTCGAATTGCTACACTTTTGCCCTCGGCCGTTGGAAAATGAACCCCAGAGCATATCTTACGGTCAATTCCTGCGAGCCAGTTTCACGTCTAGACAAATATATTTAAAAAAACGTTTTTTACCTAAGAAAATACAAAGTCATTAAAAAACAATGGTATAATTTGCAATTAGTAATGTAGATATGAGATGGTAACATAGAACTTGATAAATGAGATTGCTTGCTCTAAATTTATAGAGGTTATGATCAATATTGGGAGCAGGTCACACACTCAGTATTTACTCCTTTGTTTCACTTATATTGATACTTTTATCAACCATTGCAATATTTATTCCAAATTTATTTATTCTTTCTGTTATAAATGTTGCTATCGCATTACTATTTTGAAAAATTATAAATAATGATAACAACGTCAATAAATTTTAAGCCTGCAATTTCTAATCATAACAGGCTCCAGCACATGAAATGGTGTTGTGCCACATTTCGCGATTACATAAATACGGCTAATTCTTCATCTCTCGAAATTTTATCAGAGGTGATACCTATTCTATATTTAATTCGTTTTATTTATTTTTTTAAAAAAAATTACTTTATTTTTGTACAAATTTTAGTTTATATTAGATTTAAAAGGATTTTTTTCATGAGTTTATTATAAAATTTACATGTCTAAAATAAATTGCGTAGAATCTATATATTTTGCCTATGAGCTTTGTTTTTAACAACATACTTTTGACAAAAATAATTTATCGATTTGTTTATCTATTTGTCCAAAACTAAATCGGCTCGAGAAGTTTTTGAATTAGGTGACTCAGTAAACCAAATTGACACAAAAAATGAATCAAAAAATGAATCGGCAATTGAACTCCGTAAAGTACCAAAAACTGTAAAGAATCTTAAGGATATAAAAAAGAGAAAAGCTTTGGCAAATTTAGAGATAAATAGTTTAGCGAAATTGACAGCATTATATTTATCATTAGCTGAAAACTGCCGTAAATTCTTTAACAAGTGAAATTGAAATTATTAAATCAAATATATCTATTCATAAAGCAAAGTTTAATCTTACATGTTCAACTCACCGATGAGTATACTTGTTGGCAAAAATATTAGGATTTGGGATTATGTTAGGGATTGAAATTTGGGATTGGGATTTGGGACAATTTTATTATGTTTGGGATTTGACAAGTATTATTGACAAATTTGCATGACAAATCACGTGAAATCTTGAGTTAGGCGTTTTGTCATATGGGCCAATTTGGATCTTTTGGTGATGTTTTCAAATAAGATCTTTAAAATTGTACTAATCAAATTAATATTGATGGTGATTATTGCGAATTTATCTTACATTAAAAATAGATCCTATGATGAAATGATATTTTAACCAATCACAAACTATCGTTTCGAAAAAGTTTCTTGAAATCTAGTGTGTTAATCGGTTCGGAATCGGTTGGGAATTTGTTTTGCGCGAAATTAACTCCACAACAATTAAAAGGTAGTTAGCTAAATGGTAGGTATAACACTTTGCAAGGTGTTTAGAGCATTAGCAAAATTTTATACCCTCTTTTTCATCTTGTCGTCTTTGTTGTCTTTGTATTTTTTTATTTATACTTGATTTAAACATTTAGGTTGTCTTAGTATATTAATCTTTGGGAATTGGTTTTCGGTAAAATTACAGTAAGTAAATATAATAACTACAGACATGATATTTTTATACCATATTTTTCGTCTTTATATACATTTATTAATACTTTTATGCTTACAAATATATTTAAGCATTAACTGACATGCAACCGGATGATCTAGATCTTGATTACTTCTATGCAAACTACCCAAAAAGTTTTGGAGTTGGAATATACAAAGAAACACCTAATACATCTCAATCTATTCCTATGAACAAGAAACCTAACAGTTGTATTACTACTCAACTTAGAGGAACTATCAAGAGTAGTCACTACTTTGAGGCTCTAGCAACAAGCTCTACTGTAACATGTTTGTGTGGCAAATATCACACATAGTTCATATCTGCTCAAAATCTTACTTATCAAAGAAACAAGATAACCAAAGTAATTAAAAAATCTAACAACAAAAAATCACTAGCAACCTTTATTGCAGACTCTACTTTGTTTATTTTCCTATCACCTACATCTACACCAATATCTACTATGCACCACCACACCTGTACAAAATATAACTTGCCAATTAACCATAAAATCATCAACAGTTAACATTATCTAGCACAAGATGCAATCTTAGAAAATGAAAAAATTTACCATAAATCATACACAAATACTATATCCAACCCACAGCAAGGTTTTTCTAAAAGTAGCCAATTCCTTTCACAACTCAGACAGATTCTCGCTGTTAACCAACTCTATAATTCTTTAATTTCTGAACTTGGACCTCTAACATCTTCTACATGCTATAATAAGATACTACTATTCCTTAATCTTTCTATACTCCCATACCCTCAAACTATTAATTCTTTCATTAGACATCTTGAATCCTTTTATTATAATTTTAATAATATATACAACTTTACCTTTCACTTACTAATCAAAGAAGATTACAGTATAGCATATGTCTACCCTCAGTCTGATTACAGATTCATACAACGAGGCTATTTCAGAACACCAGTTGAAAGTTACAAATACTTCCCTTTTATTTCTCTTTCTACTATTTCTAATATTCGGTCTCTCAAATCAGAAACCATCCCTAATGTAATTAAAGATAACCAAACATATAATCCATACTATTATACCTGACAAGACTTCCATTTTGGTTTCTATAATACTGAACAAACTACTAATCCAGATCTTAAATTCCTTCCATATCTAACAATATACTACAATAGATTTCTTAAATACTACCAATTACCAATACTACCAAAACTACAAACTATAATTTCATTTCTTTCACATCTCAACCTTTTTGAGTATAACTTAGAAAAACATTTCTACATTTTTACTATTTCTGTTAAAAAAGACTATTCTGAAACACATATTTACTTACTTTCTAAATCAAAACTATTATCTAATCACTTTGTACCATGCAGAGAAGCCTTAAAATATTACTGCAACATACCTCTCAAATCTAATTATCCTAATTTATCTACTCAAACTGTTACAAGATTTACTGACTCTTTTAATATATCAGAAGAGCTTTTTCTAATTTCTGAATTACCAAACACTACAAATTTATCTTTATCTACTCTACAAACTAACTCATATCAGTCAACTAATATACCCCCATTCATGAACCTGAATATATTTCAACTTTCATAATACTTTACTCAATACAAACTATCAACAAACTTAACATATACTATCTAATAGTTTACAAGATCCTATATTTAAACTAAACATAGCAACACATAATATACAAGGATATAATATACACAAAAAAAGACTACTATGAGAAGACTACTGTCTAGCCAATGACTTACATATTATCAGTCTAATAGAAACCAAAATTGCTAGCAATACACCTACAAAATTCTTCAATACCCAACAATACAGATATTATTGGTCTAACTCACCAACAGCCAAAGAAGGAACATGTATAATGCTATGCAATTATATTCAACCATATATACACAAAATACTTACCCACCCAGGAGGAGCAATTGCAATTGACCTATTCCTTAAACATGACTACAAACTCGGAATCATTTCTGTTTACCTCTTATCAACTAATAGTGCCAACCGGAAACTTATACAAGAAACAGCTATTACATGGGTACAGCAAATACTGTCATACAATTTACAACCCATTATCTTGGGTGACTTCAATGCCAACAACGATACCACTATTTCATTTGCAGCTAAATTTTAACTTCTTAACTATCTACATAATACCAATATGTATAACCTGACAAGCCATACAAATAATCTACAAAACACCTAGCACAGTACTAGATACCAAAGTTGAATAGATTACATTTGGGCAAATAATACTCTTATACCCTACTTACAGTCTTTCAAAATTGATAACCTACTATCTTCAACTTATAGTAACCACCAAATCCTAATATCAAACTGGACATTTCTTTTTGTATTAGCTAAAACCAACCACAAATCCAAATGCATATATAAAATATATGAGTATAAACAAATAACCAAAGAACAATGGGAAAATTTCACTGATCAGATCAACTCTAATATAATCCAACATAATATACCATTATCTACTTTTACAACTGAAAGTCTTGAAAAAACATGGCACAAGATTTATATTTGTAATATATTTAAAAACAAAACAGAATTTAACTGATTACATTACATGAATATATTTTAGTCAATTTTAAATTAATAAACCAAGCTCTATCTAATTAAATACAATCTATCATATTACATATACAAATTATTACAATTAACTCTATTATATATCACAAGTTTTTACTAAATGCCTACTCAAATTTACTATTAGGTTAAACTAAACCCTATACTAATATTACTTCCTCAAACAATAATAATTTTGTGATTTAAACCATTTAAATAATCACTTCCATTTAAATTATTTGGACTAGTTTCTTAACATATAAATTATACAAACAATATAAAATAAACTCCCTTAATAAATCCTTGAACCTTGTTTATTTATTTATTTTTCTTCGAATAACTGCCGGATGTGATACATAAAAATGAAAATTCGTTAATTGGTAAAATTCATACTATTCCAAAATTATGGAATCAATAAACGATGCATAATAATATATTTGTGTTCATTATTGTGTATTCTTAACTTATAAAGAATTTTTATTAACATTTGAAAGTGAAAAATTATAAACGATTATGTAAAACATATAAGCAAAAAGAATTAACGTTAACTAATGTCACCGATGACACATTAAAATTAGGCTTAAATTTTGGGCGCATTTTTTTTTTCTTTTGTTAGAACTTAAAATTGTTAAAAGTATATAAGATTCAACTAAAAGAAAACTATGGAAAGATATAAAATACATTTTTAATTTTAACATAATGGAAAGGCTATTCCCGTTTCTTAAAAATTATTTCATAAGTGGTTCTATTTAGAAAATTTAGTATATTTTGTCATTTTTCCTTTGTGGCAGCGGCTAATTTTTCATAAAATTCTAAAAGATAGCGCCTAAACTCTAGGCTTTGTTCGCATATATTATTAAGTGAATTGATGCAATAAGATTTTAGTCTTTGCAACCATTCTTTTTTAAGATTACATTCATCATATTTCGTTTTCCTCATAGGTTTTGACATCTCTGCGTCTCCGACAGTTTGCATTGGTAATTTAAACGGAATTTCCATGCCGAATAAACCAGGTAAATAATGTTCAAATAAGGGTTTAAGAATCTCTGCGCGAGTGCATTGTGAAATTAATTCCAAATGTGAAGGTAGGAAAAAGTTTTCCGCATTACAGTAGATTTTGAAGATGTTACAGACTTCATTAAAGGTGTCTTGACTCATATTGATCGGCATTTCAATATTTAGAGATTGTTGACATTTATCGGCACTAATACGTGCTAACAATATATCGTCGAAGCAACTTTTTGTAATAAATGCATTTGCGCCAAACTTTATTAAGACCCAATGATAAAATTTTGGTAATAAAAGATTATTATTCGGTCTAATCATCGGATTTTTATGATTCCGATAATGATTAAATGCCATGCTAAATGCAATTTCTGGGTCATCCGATGAGAGTTTATAAAGTAAATTAAAAATATTGAAATTTTTAAAATTGCGCTCAGGTTTAAGGGCTTCTATCAAACAATTATGTAAAAAAATTTTACTATGAACTTTTGTAATTTCTATAAATGAGCGTACTAACTCTTCACCAATTTCTTCCAATCGATGATCAAAAAGAAGAAAAATATCCATTATTACTCTATAATTTAATTTAAACCTAAGATTAATTAACTCTATGAGCCGTGTACAAACGGCATTGGTAGTAGGTCTCACCCATCCATGAGGTGGGATTGGTGGGAAAAGGATGAGTAATGCGCCTTGCATAACAAGGTCATTGACATCATTACAAATTTCATGGTAACCTATTGCTTCCCATAACCTCGTTATTTCAGGTGCAATTAGAATTGCTCGTGCGATTACGTTAAGTTGTCTATTATTTTCAAATCCATCTTTGGACGGATATTCCTCTGGCGAATTATGGGCATCTCTTGTTTTTGACGAAGGACGTGGAGGAAATGGAATAAATTTCTTATGCAAAATAAGTTCTTTGATTTTCTCAAGATTTTTAACAAGAACGTTTCGTGCGTTTTTAATTTCAAGATGTCCCGCTGAAAGAAAATGAAACAGTTCCATATCATTTCCTCGTTCAGGCTCTTGGATTTTCAATTTATTACATCCCTCTGCTAAAAGGTAGTTAAAGACAGAAATAGGTAAATTACTGGCCCAGGGCGTACTAATTCTTCGTTTCTGCAGCAATGCAAGTTCGGAGTCGTATTGTGCAGTATTATGGGAAGTAATGAGACGCTGTAAGAAGTATCGTGAAAGAATTCCACCTTTATCGATAATTGCTCGTGCTACATCTACATTAATGAATGTAGGCCCTAATCTAACTGCGTGGAAAAGGCTATGGGCGCGTCCGTATTGAAAAACAATCCATTCAGCTTTAGTCCGACAATTTTTAGCTACGCCAGACCAGAGCAAACAACATCTAGCCAATTGTAATGGTGATTTAACACGTTTAAAAATACATATTAAAACTTCAATTGGCATTGTATTTAGATAATTTGTCTGTATAGTATCAATATTTTTCGATAAAATATCTGGCATGCAATCGACTTTATGAGATCCTGCGGGAAAAGAGCGCAATAATTCAAGATTATTTCTGAAACAATCCGAAAAATTGAAGGTTCTGCTAACATAAACAGCCTTGTCGTGAATTATAGTTTTTTTATTTTCATTCCTCTCAGACATAAATTTATCAGATCTTTTTGTGTTAGCAATAAAAATTTGATTGTAAATTTCTGAATCAAAATTAGCATTATATTTTATAGCATTAACCC